CTCCAAATCTGAGAAGAGTCTTCTCCCTCCAAAATCTATGTCATAATAAAATGGCCAACCTTTAAGTTGCCACAGTTTTCTCAATAGCTGGGATCACATGTCACTCCAAACACGCTCAGTCCAAAGCCAATCAAATTTCCCTCTTGCAGCATCAGATCACGGTGCTCATCTGGACAAGTGCCCTTCCCCTGGCAGGCTTTATCAATGAGAGCCAGAACAGGATCACGTGAAGGGTTAGTATCGGTTTATAAGGCCTTGGTAAAACTACACTTGGAATACAGCATCCAGTTTTGGTCACCACAATATAAAAAAGATGTTGAGATTCTGGAAAGAGCACAGAGAAAAGCAACAAAGATGATTAGACTTGATGCTAAAATGCATAGAGAACGTTTGCAGGAATTGAATAGGCCTAGTTTAATGAAAAGAAGGACCAGGGGTGACGTGATAGCAGTGTTCCAATATTTGAGGGACTCCTACAGAGACGAAGGTGTGAACTTATTTTCCAAAGCACCAGAAATCAAAACAAAAAGCAACATGAGGACAATTACTCAGTGGAATGGCTTATCTCCAGAAGTTGTGAGTGCTCCATCGCTGGAGGCTTTTTAGAAGAGACTAGACAATCACTTGTCTGGAGTGGCATAGGGTCTCCTGCTTATGCAGATTAGAAGACCTTCATGGTTCCTTCCAACTCTGTAATTTTGTTGGCCTTTGTATGGCTCCATCCATTTTTCCTGGAGAGCTGACTGATCATTTGGGGCTTGGATACTACTTGCCAATTGATCGGATCTGTTTCTCAGAGAACAAGGCAGTCTGATTCGTCCTGAGCTCCTAACTGCGGATTGGGGTTAATCCGTGCTCTTGGCCCAGTGCCCTTTGTACTGTCTTGTCAGCACAACATGCTCTACATCCTAAGATGACCCATGGGGCCTGAGTGCCAAAACAACTACAGCCAACTCTGACCCTGAAAAAGGGCAATCCTGGAGCAAACGGAGACAGCAGTTACGAACTTTGTGAAGATTTCCCATTTGGCACCAGTTTGATGCTTGGCTGGTTGTGTGCCTGTGAAATCAGCTTCCATTTTAACTGCTTCCCAAGGACTCTTGCTGGGCATTGCAGGAGCATCCAGCAGGGAGCATCTGCAGTTCTAGCCAGCCTTTGAGAGTCAGGAATGTTCCCCACTGGTGAGCCTGCAACAATATCTTCCTTATAGCTCAGCAGGCTTATTTACATTGATGGAAATATTAAGGTGGAGTTGGTATTTGAACATCTGGGCTCTTTGTTGATGCTTTTCTGGATGGAGGAGCACTACCCACAAAAGAGCAGGTTCCCTCTGCAGTGGGCATGTCCAGAATGTATGTTACGGAAATCAAGCTTCCCAGCAACTTTCTGGATACCAGATGGCCTCAATTTCCTCAGCTTACTTTACTACTTTCTTTTTTTCAGACCGTGAACACATTTTCAAGCAAACTCTGATACTCGCTCAACACTTTTAGGTTCTGTAAATAGTCCTTCCTTTCCTAAAACTGTTTTAGAAGCCATTTCTTCCCCTGCCTCTGTAAAGCCCAAATTCACGGTTTAGCTGTGCTTTCTCTTTTTCAGCCCGTACCTTTTCCATGGAGAGGGATGCAGAAGATGATGGCGAGATCCATGTGGAAGTGAGATGTTGGTCCTACCTACCCGAGTATCCTCTGGGCTCTCCCCCCAGCCCAGGGAGGAAGCACTATGGAGACCAGCAGGAAAGAAGGAGGTAGACACCAAGGACTTCAGGACAAATGGGAGATGATGGGAGAGCTGTGGCCACAGAAACCAAGGCCTTGCCTGGTGGAGGGGAGTGGGGGAGGCTGAGGCCTGGACAGCGCCTGCCTAGCAAAGTCTGAATGGGATCCCAGATTCTCCAGAGCATTTTTCCTGCGGACTCTTCTTGCTTCTTCCATTGCCTCTTCAAGGAAGGACCCAAACAGCCTTAGGCAGAGATGGACGGTTCCTTGGGAAAACCCACGTGGTTAGTGCTGAAGGTGTTGGGCTAGGAGCAGGGAGAGCTGGGTTCTAGTCCTCCCTGGGGACTTTGGGCAGAGGGAAGAGCCTTGTGGTGCAGGGGGAAGAATCGCTGCCACGACAATGGTCAGATCAAAGGAATCTGTGGCAGAAATAGAATCAAGAAAGCACTGCAGGCTGGACGGTCCCCACTTCTCCCACATTCAGCCTGGCAAGCTCTGTCATAAAAGTATCCTTAGCCTGCCTGACTTTGGTTTCCCCATCTGGCCCACTTTGAAAGGCTGACCCTCGCTCAATCCGAGAGCCAGAGAAGGAATCATCAGATTAAAGTGTTGCAGTCAGACCAGGGAGACGTGGCTTCTATCTCCCCTGCATCCTTGGACATTTCCTGGGGACTTTGAGGGAGTCTGTCTGGACCCACAGCCAGGGTGGTTCTGGGGTGAAGGTGCTGGGCTAGGAGCAGGGGGAGCCGAGTCCTAATCCTCCTCAGTGCTAGAAGCTCCCAGGGTGACTTTGGGGTGGGCCTCCCGCTCAGCCCAGAGAGGACCTAGGTGGTTCCAGTCCAGGATCTGGCTCTTCCTTTGGCCCTCTCAGCCCAAGCACCTTCCCCAGAGAGCTGCCTTGGGGTCAAAGAGGGACGGGGGCGTTATGTGTGCCCTTCAGCTCCTGTAGACAAAGGGGGTAGAACTGAAATAAAGAACCTGTGATGGGAATAAGCCCTTGCCAGGCTGAAGGTTTTACCCATGGCAGAGTAGCAGATCCTGCATTTCCTTTGAGTTTGCTTTTATTCCCATCTCCATGTTGATCTTGCCTGAGTACCTGTGAGCCAAAGTCTCCTTTGCATTCAGAGTTAGAGGTAAGAAGACCAGCCCTTCTTCTGGAGGCCACATCATCCTTCCTCAAACAGAGGTGAAATAGGAATCCTTGGCTTCAAGCAATGCTAATCCCCCCCAGGAGCTCAAATACAAACTCGTGTTTCTAAAAGAACAGTTTCAGGCATTTGTTGCAGCAACAGAAATTAAATACTTTCTAAACCTTTTGACTTCCCAAAAAAGAGCAGAAGGTTGCATGGTAGCTGAAAAGCCGAAGTGCCAGAGGCCTTTCCCTTGCATTGTGCCTGCATTTGTTTTTGAGGTCGCAAAGCACCACATCAAAGGCAGCGCTTGGAAAGAGCCTCTGGGCTTGCAGTGATCCACGGTGCTTAGTAACCATCCGAGCCTCCTGGTGACCCGTTTTCCTTCCTAGCAACGGCTCTGCTCCTGGAGACAGCCAGTCTTCGGTCCCCAAGCTCTGCTCGGCTGCAGGCCGGGTGGACGGGGGCAGGTCCCACACAGCAACACACACACACACATCACCTGAGGAGGAAAAGGACAGGCAGTTAAACCAACAGCATCTAAAACAGGGACCAAATTCTGGGTCTGAAGCTGTTGTGGATTATTGTAGAACCATCAGACAGGGGAGCCTTTTGGAAGGACGGAGCGAATCCGGAGGGTGGATAGAAGGGCGAGATGAAGTGCTCTGTCCTTGAAGGAATGTGATCCAAAGTGGTGAGTAGGTGCATCTTCAGCTGCTGCTTCCTTGTTGTGGGCTTGGTTTTATTTGTGATGCTGCTTCCCGTTAGAAATTCAACTGGGCTCATTTGATGCCAGGCTCATGAGTCAAAGGTACTTGTTTAAGTCCAGATTATGGAAAGGTAGTGAAGGGTGGCCTTCAGTGGGGACGAGGAGGAGGAGGGCATTGTTTTATTTCTTATGAACAACACACATTTCACTCTGTACACTGGGGCTTCCAATGAGTGAATTCTGCCTACTTTGGGATGGGGAAGCCCAATCTCCATGTCTTGTGAAAAGGCCCAACATACAGAGCTCTGGTTGTCTGAGGCTTTGTTGAATGTCTTTGCCCAGAGATCTCCAGAAGGAATCTCCGTCCATATCCGTCAGGTTTCACTGATAGACAAGGCACCTGCAGGGAGCCGGAGGAGAGAGGAGACCTCGGAACCCTCCTCCTCCTCTTGGTCCATTTGGTTGGACTTTTTTAGGGGCAACCAGAAGGATTGGAGGTCGGAGATTATACGAAACTCCGGGGGCAGCTCATTCCAGAGGGAAGGTGCTCCCAGAGAGAAGGCTCTCCCCCTGGGGGTCACCAGCCGACACTGCCTGGCCGATGGCACCCTGAGGAGGCCAACTCTGTGGGATTGTACTGGACAGTGGGAGGCTATCGGTGGCAGTAGGTGATCTCGCAAGTACCCTGGGCCTAAGCCATGGAGGGCTTTAAAAATCATAATTAACACCTTGAATCGCACCCGGAAAACAACCAGCAATCAGTGCAGGCCGCCTAAAAGGGGTGTAACATGGGAGCACATAGGTACCCCCATGACAACCCACA